CGGTAATGATTATTGGCGTTTTTGCATGCAACGATTTGTAACAAGCTAGCATATACTATAGATGTCAGCACTAAAATAAGATATGAAAGGAAAACTTTAAGAAAAAGAAAATATTCTTAATGCATTGATTATTAACGTCTTTGCATGCATTTGTGAAATGCTAGTAAGTAGTATGGATGTAGCACTAAATTAAGATAATATGGAAAAACCTTAAGTAGAATCAAATAAGGGAAGGGCTTTCTGGTTTATGTTTTATACGCAATTATTAAAGTTTTGTGCACAATGTTTTGTAACAAGCTATCATGTATTACGGATGTAGCACGAAATTAGATAAGGTTTCGAATAAAGTAAAGAAGATGAAGGGCTTTCTGATTTATGTTTTATATGTAATAATTATCTATATTTTATATTGTTTTATAACAAGATAGTATGCAGTACGGATGTAGTACTAGGTTAAAATATGAAGAAAAAACTTTTAAGTAAAGCGAAAAAAAGAAATAACTGTCTGGTTTCTCATGAGCATCCAAATAAAAAAGAAATTACTCTTGAAAATTAATATTTAAAAAAAAAAAGAAAGCAGTAATATTTTCAAGCTTTTGAGAAAATTTGAAATCATATATTTTTCGGCATTTCAATTTGTTTTTTATTGATTATTACTTCTAACATAACTAAATTAATAATTTGCATATAATCAAGAAAATTCTGCTGAAAAAATTTCGATTTAGAAAATTTGTTTTCCATAACTTTTGAAATCGAAAAATTTTTAAAAGCTAGAAACACAGTAGAAATAGTAATCAAAAAATTTAAAAATCTAAATTTACGTAAAAATTAATTTTATAAGGAAACAAAAATATAGGTTCGAAATATTTAAATACTTCATAAAATAATTTACTGAGAACAAACTAAAAAGTAGTTGAAAAAATTTTATACTTTTCTTCTAAACATTACAAAATACTTTTAAAATTTAAATAATTTAAGTAATAATTTATTTAATACTGGTTGCGTTTTATACCGAGCGTTTGATGTTTGCTACTTTATTAAATTTAAAAATGAAACTTGCCTAAAAGTAATTTACGTTGCAAAAGTATCCGAACTTACGTCAAGTATGTCCAGCTTATTTTGATTTTCCGATCTGTGCTTTAAAAGTATATTGAGCATTAATGAATTAAACAAATGTTGGAAGAATATTAAATTTCCTCATAACTTAAATTTGAAGAAAAATACCACCTCCCACAAAACATCTTATTTTTGTTCCAGAAATATTTAATCACCTATATTTGCTTCAAGAAATACTTATGTGATGTTATCTTGAGAACATTTAGCGTTAATTTAGAAGTTTAAACGCTTATGCAAAGTAAATGAAAGGATTTTAAGGATAATATGAAAGATAACTTTTTTTATGTCTTAGAGACGAAACAAAACTTTTTATGAACATTTTAAACTGTTTTAATGCTTCATATCACAAGGAAGTGACATTTGAGTTAACACTGGGTCGTTCTTGTAATTATTCATATTTTTTTGGGTTATCTTTTCATTTATAACTGTCTCCAATCCGTGAAGCTTATGAAAAACAAATTATCTCTTCTATTATTTCTTAATCGGTAGTTTTAAATTGTATGTAATTTGCATTTGCAAATTACTGTAATCATGTGATAACTTATTATGAGAAATGTTTCCAATCAGTGAAGCTTACGAACACCAAATTATTTCTTAACAGATAGTTTTAAATTATATATAGTTCGCATTTACAAATTAATGTAATCACGTGACTTATTATTAAATTTCTTACTATTAGATTTAATGCCTCCAATCCATGGAGATTATGAATATCAAATTATTTGTTCTACAATTTATTTATTAACTATAGTTTTAACTTGTACGTAGTTTGCATTTACTAATTACAGTGATTGTGTGATAGCTTATTATTAGGCTTATTATTGCGGAGTAATTGATACTCAAAAATACTACGCTATAAATTCTGCTTACATAACAAGAATCATGCCTGAGAAGATCAAAAAAAAAAAAAAGATAAGAGAGAGATAAGTATAAAATAGAGAAAAGATATCTTTTTAAGAAACATCTTCTTAAGAACGTTTTTTTAGAAACAAAACTTAAGCCTTTGCACTCGGAGAAAAAAATTCTGGAAAAACTGCAGTATGGTAATGAAATTTTCTGATATAAAAATACAAAATCCTGGTTATAAAACAAAAATAATATTGTATTTAAATCATTCATTTGTTAATTTTTCCGTTTATATATGGCAACAGTTTACCGAAATTCTGGTTTTCAAAATTATAGTTCTTTTTACCACACATATAGTAAATACCAAACTGAAACGTAAATTTAACCGAATAAGTGGATTTTATGCCATACTCCAGGATATCATGATAAAATGTCCAAATATTACCACAATTACTAAGTTTTAAAACTTATTATAAAACCATATTTTATTGTTAATTTGACCCAATAATAATCAAAGCGCTTTTGGTAAAAATTACCAAGATTTTTGATGTTCCCATTGAGCCAGAAACATGATAATTTTCCCAACTATTTTTCTCCGTGTTCAATAAATTTTGAAATATTGTGTCGATACATTTCTATTCATTCTTTATTTATGAATAAAATATGGGTCTTAAATATTTAAACATTTAATTCAAGTTAATATAAAATCTAGAAGCAAATATATATTCAAAAAACGGTATGATGAAATAATTTTTGCTCTTAATTTAGAGAATACAAAGTAGCAAATAACAAGTAATATATGAAAAAAATTAAAGTCAATTCCTATTTAGGTCAACAAAAAAATTTTTATTTTGTTGAAATTGAAATTTTATTTTAGCTACTTTAAATTGAATAATTACAATTAGTATAAATATGAATAAACATATGACAGAATCAGAATACAGGGTTATTCACAATTCCCTCCGGGGTTTCGAAGCGTTATAGTAAAAAAACGAAGACGAATATGGCAAAAAAGAACAACTGAAATTATTCCGAAAGAATTCAAGTTTTAATTTAAGCAGTTGCCGGTAGATGGCAATAACATTTACCACTGAAGCCAGTTGTAGTAAACATAAGGTTGTAGTAAACAGAGAGAATTATGAATAACCCTGTATTAAGTGACAAGTAGAAAGCGGATTTTCCTTCCAATTTTCCATTTGGAATTAAATTTAATTAATGAATTAATATTTGAAAAAACTGTATCATTCACTACAAGTTTAAAAAATGCATTTGATCTTGGGTGGATGAATAAAAAGTATTTTATTAACGATTGAAAATTTGTAAAAGATATATAAATATATGTAGGGAGAGAATGTGAACTAATAGCAGAAATTGAAAAAACATCGTAAATTACTACTTTATTCAAACAAAATGTTTGCTATGTTATTTTTTCTAAAAATTAAGTATCAGTTTGCAAGTAATGATTACTTGTTATGATTAAGCAAAAATAGAAGATGGAGATTTTTAGGATTCATTAATCTATGTAGTCCTATAACCATTTGAAAAGAGATTAAATCAGAAATGTCTAGACGCCATGTTCTACTTTTTGAGAAATAATAGTAAAATTTCACATCTTCTTTAATAAATCATAAATTTAAATGCAAGCTTACAAAATGTATTTAAATCACATTAATGCATTATTTTCTTCGTTATTTTATTCTTAAAAGAGTGAAATTTTTTTAAAACCGGTTATAATTATGAAGATAAAAAATCTCTATGCACCTTGAACCACTATATCATGAAAACCATCATGAGACGTCAGATTGAATCTTATTTCAGTAACTTCTTCTCAAATTGAACGCTATATTTAAACTAGCATCTAGATTGTGTTCAAAATTAGTATCTTATTATAGTTGCTGTAAATTAATACAATATTAACGTTCAAAATATCAAAATCGTGATTTTCCTTTAAAAGCTTTAAGCCGATGTCTCTAAATCTGCATTATACTGCTATAAATGATGATACATGGCGTGCTGAATGAAGTTTTTCTCCATGTAGAGTATGCTCTTATAAATTTGACTTAATGATACTATATGTTTCAAAATAAACGGATATTTAGGCAATTTTAACATCTTATTAAAAATTGCAGAAAGTATTTACAGTATTAAAAATTCAAAGTACCGATATTTACCGTTTAAATTTGAACCAGTGGCTGGGTGGAGCAGTTGGCTTGTCGTCAGCCTTCTGAGCCCAAGTCTGCGGGTTCTATCCCCGGCCCTGACACCTGATTTTCGGGATGCAGAAAATCCTCAGCGGCCATGTCGTATGATTATGCGGCATGTAAAAGATTCCTGGAGTGCCTTATTGGCTCTTGGCATTTCGGGCAAAATTAACTTCCTAGTGCACTTTAACATCCAAATAGAGTCTCGGTGCTGCCATCTAGTGTGGCAGAAACTAGACGTCTAAATCAATATAGCCAACGGTATCTCACCCATTGTGGTGGTCCTGAAAGAGTGGATACTACTTCTGGAGAACGCACTAGGTCTGCTCATCGGGAAGACTGATTGTGCAGCTCATAGGAAATAAAAATTTGAACCAGTTTTTTTCTAGCATGAAGTTGGGATATATTTAAACATATAAACTTTTATTATAACTCTCTCATACGCTTTAAAAAATTCCAGATTAAATTACGATAAAAAGTGCTGGTATCCTGAGTTCAGCACGCGTGTAATCCATTTCATACGGTAATTTCTAAGTACTAATATTTATTTAGTTACCGTGGTTCAAAGATTTTACAATAAATATTACTGTGTAAAAATTACGGAATATAAGATTTTTGTTCTGTAAAATGTTACGGTAATAAGTACTGGCACCCTGAGTACCTGTACTGTAAGGAAAAAAGTATTCGCATTCTGAGTATCTGTGCTTTTTACCGTAATTTAAAATGGAATTTTTTACAGTTAGGAATAACGTTGAATTATTTGCGTTTTACTATTGATTACTTATTTTAGAATCTATTTTTATACAATAATTAAATATTTTCTTTTTTTCATTTCAGCTTCATTATCAAATGTCACCAGATGAGCTGCAAAGGATATTTAAAGTTAAATCTCCTGATTTAGGTAAGTTATTTAAACTTTATCAGATTCTTTAATAATTTTCTATAAGTATAAGTGATAAAGAATATCGATTTTTTTCTCGGTATATTTATTTATTCTTATATTGTTATTAAACTGTATTTGTTTCCTACAGTTTGAAAAGTTTTACTCAGCTGAGTATTAAGGTTTCAAATCACGTTTAAAATCAAAAGGTTTTTTAATAGAAGTAGAAAAAACAATGTTAAAAAAAGTGAGAAATCATCAAATCCCATGCTTGCTATGGTTGTCTTATTGATGTGTAATTGCCTGCTACAAATCTGAAGATTTGTTTTAAACATTTTTCTTTTTTTTGAAATTATTTTCGAATTTTTTTGTTAACTTTTATTGAATTTTTATAAATACACTGAAAAATAGTTTTATATCATGCACTTTTCAAAATGTATGAAAACTTTGATTTAAATTTCACTTGTTTTTCGATTTAAATTTCTTATTAAAATCTAATTATTCTAACTATATTTCTTTTTTAAATTCAACTTAAATTTTTTCTCTCCTTTTTTTTGGCAATATCTTTTGCTTGAGCCTTTTAGATTTTCTCAATATTTTCGAATTGAAACTTTTTATAATATTTAACTTTTATTGCATAATTAATTCATCAAAACAAAATTTTTGATTTACTGTTTACTAGTATTGAAATCATTCAATCACGCCAATGTGTTTTAATCCGATTCCAGAATATGAATTCTCTTCTAAATTGTTGAGATCTTGTTTGCTCTGATTCTTAAGTTTCAGGAACGACATACAGTTTTCTATTATTAAAAATCATCTGCCTATAATTCTTTTTTTTATTTTGATTTTATAAAGATAATCAAAGAAGTGCAAACATAAACATAAACATATGGAAGTAACTTTATATATATATATATATATAGATTTCNCTGAGGATGCAAAATTAAGGATTTTTAATTATATATACATATATATGTATTTATGTATATTGCTATTGAGTTGGTGTGAATGTCTGAATTAATAATTCTATTCTACAAAACTAATTCTATTCTACATAAATTGCAATACTAACTACTTATATCAAATTTTTGAGTTGATTTTGAATATTTTATCACAGAATGTTTACTTCAAATTACAAGGACAATGCTTGTTTAATATTTGTAATTTCTTTTACTTTCTAATTTAAAACTTCAATAAAAAAACAGGCGATAAGAACACGGAACATTAATTGGTTTTTTCAATTAAACGATTTTCAACTCGTCTATTTTTGTTACATTATATGTTCGATTTTTTGTGTTCTTGAGTGGCAAGTTTCGAATTTACATTTTTTTGAAAGCTCGACGATGCTTTAAAACATTATAAATATTTTTAAAATAAAAATAAATTGATAAAGAAACTATAACAAACAAATAAGTAACGTAATATAAATATTCTTAAAATATGCATAATTACATTTCAGACCTCTTAATTAGTGTTAAGAAAATATAAAAAGCAAAATAAATCATTAATATATATCTGATCATTTTCACCAGAAAACAAGCGGAGTCACACAAAAAAATTCTAATCAAGGACGTTAAATTAATAAAATTCATTTCTAAGATAATTAAAACCTTTATTCGATAATGAACTTTAATTATCGTGTTTCAAGAATATGATTAAGGTTAGGGCGAACAGCTGTATATCCCATTGTCTTAAACTGTTAATCTGTAACACGTGCATACCACACACCCATTATGCCCTTGAATTACTTTATTTATTGTTCTCTTGATCTTGAAATAAACAGAACACAACAAAAAATATATGATCACTGAAATAGTAACGTTTTTTCTTTCTTTTTTTAATATGGTATTAAATGAAACTGAAGCGGGCGGATTCATATATGTTTGAGTTAAATTAATTGGGGGGAAATACGACGCGTTAATTTGAAGATTTATCTAAGCAACTTATTTATTGTTCACCTTGATAAATATAAGCTGCTCCTTAAAAAAATCTGCAAATTTCTTTTGTTATTGATAGTCAGCTCTGATAATGACTTTTTTTTAAAAAAAAAAATTACTTAATCAGTTTTAAACTTAAATAAAATCTTAAATATATGAACACAGAAATAATGTATATTTTTTTTAAATATAGTATTAAATGAAGCTCCATCTGGCTGTTTCATGAATGTTTGATTTAAATTGATTGTAGAAAAACCCGACCCGTTAATTTGAAGATTTATCTGAAACTCTGATTCAATGTTCATTTTGATAAATATAAACTGCTCCTTAAAAAAAAATCTGCAAATTTCTTTTAATATTGTTAGCCAGCTTTGTTAATGATTTCTTTTTATAAAAATTATTAAATAAGATTTTAAAATTTAATGAAAGCTTAAATATATGATCACTAAAATAGTAACGTTTTTTTCCCCGTTTTAATATGGCATTAATTGAAATTGAAACGGGCGGATTCATATATGTTTGACATAAATTGATTAGGGGGAAATGCGACGCGTTAATTTGAAGATTTATCTAACCCACAGATTCAATGTTCACCTTGATAAATATAAACTGCTCCTTAAAAAAATCTGTACATTTCATTTTTATCGTTAATCAGCTTTGTTAATGATTTTTTCAATAAAAATCATTAAATACGCTTTAAAACTTCAATAAAAACTTAAATATATGATCATGAAAGAGTAACGTTTTTTTGGTTTTAATATGGAATTAAATAAAACTTAGCAGGTGTTTTCATATATGTTTCACTTAAATTGATTGGAGAAAAACACGACGCGTTAATTTGAAGATTTATCTGTAACTTTTATTCGATTTTCACCTTAATAAATATAAAATTCTTCTTAAAAATCTGCAAATTTCTTTATTTTTTGGTGAACCAGCTTTGTTAAACACTTATTTTTTTATAAAATCTTTGAAATTTTTTTAATGACAATTAGTATAAAGATTATTTGTATCAAGATTTTAAATTCCTATAAATTTTGTGACTCGAGAATTATTTTCATACTTCAATTTAGAGTTTCTAGTCATTAATTTGGGATAAAATAAAATCAGGCGTGAATTGATTATAGAGAAATGAGAAGTGTTAATTCAAAAGTAGTAAAAAAAGTATTCCATATAACAACAAATTTTTGTTGTTTAAAATAATAACTATAACTTTTATTGTACTGTTTCATGAATGGAGTCATGGATTTGAACTGTACACTGAGAAAAAAAGTATGATCTAACGTACCAAAATGTGATAAAATTTATGGTGTTTCTGTCTTGATGAGAACTCCAAAACACTCGATAATTTTTACCGAAGAGTTATGGTAATGATCTTGATAAAGTTCAAATTGAAATATGGTTTTATAATATGTGATAAAATTTTCAAAATGTGTCGAAAGTTGGTAATTTTATCGTGATATCTTAGAGCAAGGCTTAAAAACCATTTATTTGGTTAAATTTGATTTCAGTTTTGTAATTTGAACCATATGAACGAAAGAATATGCACGGAAAAATTACCAAATGAGTGGTTTAAACACAATATATTTTGGTTTTATTTGACAAAATTATGTTTTTTTTCTTTTAACGTCCTTTTTTTTACCAACAATGTTATTAACATACAGTGCAGATTTATTTTCTCCATGTACTTTTTTCGATTTTTTTCTCAAGCCGTAATTACAATGTCAACCGCATGTCTCTTAATATGGTGAACCAGGTTTGATTCCCAGCGTTAACTGTTAAAAATCCTCCTGTGGTGAATAGATAAAGGGTTGCCGCCGTTGAGCTAACCATGGGTAGTTTTCATTGCTTTTCTTTAAATGTGTTATGCCGATACGAGTTAGTGTTACGGTTTGTTATGTTCCCTTTTCTTCTGGGTTGGGTTCAGAATTACAAGCTGCAAATCAGATATTTATCAGATGTTTAAAGCTGGAGATGATATAGAGCAACTATTATCTGTTTAATTTAGAAGTTTTTTAAAATTAATAAGCTAGTTATGACTTCCTTACGTAAACAACATAATATCTGAAATATTCAATGATGTATTTAACTGAAAATAAAATCGATAACATTTTTGCGACATTTTTATTTTAAAAAAAAACACTTTCTTTGTTCTTATATCTTAAGTTGAAACTTATTTTGGTGAGGCAAATGCAAAGCTTTTTGCTACATTGATGGGCGGATAGATTAATTGAGATTTTGTAAATTTTAAATGAAACTATAAGAACTCACTGGCGGGATAATTCTTTAAATGTTCTCTGATACGATTGAAAACTTAATTCATGTAGTTTCTGTTTTTTATCGATTTTAAAGATTTTGATTAATTACATTTTAAACTCCAATTTTTGGGGGATTTTTTTCAATGTGCAGTAATTACATTTAAAAAAAGTGTTTTGTTTAGAAAATCTAGATCAATATCCATTTTACCTATAAAAATGTTTTTATAACGGCGTTTAACAGCCGATCCAATTTTGAGTATACGACTACTACGGAGCCTTGTAATTTTGAACCCAACTCAGAAAACTAGGGAGCTACTGGATCAAACAATGGAACAAACTTCCTTTCCTGGAAGACTTTTTGATAAAACTAATCCGCATTTGCCTTACATGGAGAAGAAAAACGCGAAAACCTCTCTCAGTTAGCTTAAAGGCAAGGGGATTTAACCCCATATTCGTCTAACATAGCGCTATTTTATATCAGCACTGTGGTCAGTGCGAGCCGAGTTCGTATCAACGAACCCCTACTGGGATTCAAACTTGGGTTATCTCACTTGGAGCCAAAAGCTCTATCATCAGAGTCACCTCTGTTCATCAGTAAAAGTTCGAGAAAAAGGAGATAAAAAAATTTTTGAGTTATTTTACCATTTTATAACCGCTTTTACATACGTCAGGAAGAAACTATTATGTTATCGAATATACGGCTCTATTACGTAATTCACTTCCTTATGTGATTTCACATAAGTTTATTTATTAACTAGAATAAATTTCATCTACAGCATTTAGAATAATATATTTTGAATTTGCAATCCTTTAACTCCCCTAGCAG